TATCATGCCGCGAGACGGTGATGAGACAGTGACAACTGGTGTCCAGACGCCATGAAGCGGCGACGAGATGACCGGGTGACATAAACTAATTGTAGGACCCGTACCTCCTCTCCCTGCCCTTTGATCTCTTAACATTCTCCCCCCCTCTCCCCCTTAATTACCGCTGATTCTTTGCTTAAACTTTTGCTAACTCTGCCCTCCCTTTATATTATTGTATTTGCCTAATCGAAAATGTTCGTCCACCTAATTTGACTTCCCGGATGCTTACATGGGTATCATAGCTGAAGTTAATTTGAATTCATTTCCCTTAAATGCCATTTTTTAAACGCGCTTCCCAGCCACCAAACATGATAGTGCCTCTTGAGTTTATAGAAGAAGCATACTTGGGTCATTCGAGAAATAATTATTTGGTCATGCTAAAAGTCTCTGCTGTTTTTATACTCACCGACTGTGGGGTGCGAGGGTCTTTTGCAAGCCAGATGCTCTTGAACGCCGTTATTTCTCCGGGATGACTTTTTATTTTTTGTGCGAATTTTACTGAATCAAATTGCTGCGAAAAAATATGCCGTTTTCTCTATGGTACTATATGACCTTAAGTTGAAAGCTGTGCGATGGAAGTGGCAATTTTTGACGGAAGTGGGCCAAAAGGAACAAACATTCGAGCAACGTTCAGTGCGGATGTAAAACGCAAAGGGGTTTCGCACTATGAGCAACGTTACATTTCCTTAAATTATCTGGTAAGGGCACAGAAGTATGCTTTATATAGTGAAGGCAGCATTAATAAATTGACGGATACGATGCATTATGAATGAACACCTCGTAGTCGTAAAAAGGCTCATAATTAGAAATTTTTCTAAAACCGAAAAATAACCTATATTTAAGTCTTAAATTTAGAGAAGGCGTAATTTGCTACCAAATGAGTACAAGAAATAATTTTTCGTACATGTTTTCCATAGAATATATTTAAATTTATAAAGGCGTGTACTGTACATTCTCAAAATATTCTCCAACTCTGGCCTCAATCCTAGTGCTAACCTGCGCCATACGCCTAGCATTAGCCCCGTCAATCAACCGACAAACGACGTACACAAAAGCACGATCGAAATAAGCCACCTTTCCACCGTCTACCAGCTCCCAAAGATTGCGGAACCTAGTTCAAGAGTTGATTTGCAAGGATCGCCGCCCTTGA